AAGGGCTAAACGTAGCTCCTCAAGTGGGAAACGTAGCTCCTCAAGTGAGAACTACACTGCGCCCCACCAAGCCCTCTCTGTTTCTGAGGGTTGCACTGAACGTGCGGTGGGGATTTAACTCGTGGCCAGCAGCGTGGCCGAACATTGTAATAAGACTACTTGAGGCTTGCAAATGTGGAGCATTTTTTCGATGCTCGTCTGCAAGCAGGAGGCGAAGTACATCCTGTTGGTTGTGTTCATTGACTCTCTGACAATACACACACATTTTGTTACATCTACGTTAATACAATATGTATACATAAATAAATAAATATATATATATATATACATATATATGTATATATATACATATATATATATATATGTATATATATATACATATATATATATATATATATGTGTGTGTGTGTGTGCATGTTAACCGATACGTTGATGTATATATTTTGCTTCTGCGTATAAGTATGAAGACACCATCACTTCGTATGACGAACATGTATGGCTGCTCTATGATTTATGTCGCTACCCACCTCCTTCAAACCTGCATACTTGTGACGGTGCGGGCCCTTCCCAAAGGGTCCATGTACCGAAGTAGCATACTCTTGCTCCTTAAAGAGGTGCCTACGTAGTAGCTTCAGGGCTCAAGTCCATACTATCTGCATCTCTATGCATCTATATGGGTACACGGACCCTTATGGCATGGGGAACTCACACACGACCCAAGCTATGGCTGCGGATCAGCCCATGTCGCGATGATGCTTTGCTCTCATGTCTGCCTGGAGTGGAATTCGACCTGCGCGTTGCAATCTCCCTCTTCAGCTTCAGAATGCCTGGCACCGTTGCAAGCTCCTTGAATCGCACATGAGTTTAGGGTTTGGGGTTGAGTTTAGGGTTTGGGGGTTGAGAGTTTAGCGTTTGGGGTTGAGAGTTTAGGGTTTAGGGCTAGGGCTTTAAAATGCGACCACGAATTTCGGCAGCTAAGAGGGGAGGGGGGTGTGATGTCGGACTCCTGGAGCATGTTTTCGATGCGGGCTGCGTGGCGGTTGTGCAGAATGCGATTCGGAGGGTGTGGTGCCTTCCATGGGTTCATCAAGCCTAATTAAGGCTATTTCAGGGGGAATCCAGGGGGAGGGGGGTAGTATAGAGGAGGGTAGTAGGGGAACCCTAAACCCTAAACCCTAAAGCCTAAACCCTTGAGCCTTGAATGCCAAGCTCTTGTCCGGCAAGTTCTCCGAGAAAAAGGACTGCCGCGTCTCCAACGATGGCCGCGTCTCCAACGATGGCGTTCCTTGGGACCAAATGAGCCCCCGTAGTAGTAGTAGTAGTAGTAGTAGTAGTAGTAGTAGTAGTAGTAGTAGTAGTAGTAGTAGTAGTAGTAGTAGTAGTAGTAGTAGTAGTAGTAGTAGCAGTAGTAGTAGTAGTAGTAGTCGTAGTCGTAGTCGTAGTCGTAGTCGTCGTAGTAGTAGTAGTAGTAGTAGTAGTAGTCGTCGTCGTCGTCGTCGTCGTCGTCGTCGTCGTCGTCGTCGTCGTCGTCGTCGTCGTCGTTGTGGTCGTCGTCGTCGTCGTCGTAGTAGTAGTAGTAGTAGTAGTAGTAGTAGTAGTAGTAGTAGTAGTAGTAGTAGTAGTAGTAGTAGTAGTAGTAGTAGTACACCCCCCCCAATTTGATCTTGTGATCCGTATGCCTTGATAGGGAAAAGAAATAATATTTTTTAAATATCCTCTTGGGTTTTACATAAACAAAAAATAATTCCCAAGGGGGATATAGGTAGTATAGGGTAGATGACCCTCAATTTTCTCATTTGCTCCCCGGCTCTATGGGTAGTTAATTCCACGGTCCCTTCGTATGGGCCCTTGAAAGGGTACCCCTTCTGTACCCTATCCAAATTCAGAGCCCATACATCAGAACCCTTCCTTGGAGGTAAGGCACCTTATGAAGGGCCCATGAAACTACCCCTAAATCCCAAGCCCCAAACGCCAAACCCCAAACCCTAAACCCTAAACCCTAAACCCTAAACCCTACACCCATACTAAGGGGCCCTTGGACAGGGCTACCCTTAGACCAAGGAGCCCAGACTCTCACAACCATTACTGCGCCGCTGTTGGACCTCTTCGAAGACCTCGTCACTTGGCGGAGGTGGCACAGTTTCGACCAGCACCTCGAGAAGTGTAGGGCTTAGGGTTTAGGGATTAGGGATTTAAACCCTAAACCCTAAACCCTAAACCCTAAACCCTGAACAACCCTTGCCTCGTTCCAAGGCTTCTGGGGCAGCGCGAGGAAGCTAAGAGCTTCGAAGCGTGACTGGGCCGGAGCCATGATCCCAAGGCCCAAGGAAGCAGTTGAAAACCCCGACGCTCTTCAGGTAACAGACGTAAACCCTAAACCCTAATCCCTAAACTCTAAACCCTAAACCCTAAACCCTAAACCCTAAACCCTAAACGCAAAGTCTGAAGTCTACCTATACGTGCTTCCTTCGCTCGTGCCTTGAGCCCTGGGTGGTGCGGAGATTTTGGTCGTGGGCGTTGCGCAACTTTGACTTTATGGATAGGGTTTAGGGTTCAGAGTTTCGGGTCTGCCAAATAGTCGGTTGTAATATGTGCTAAGGGGGGGTAGCCTCCTGCCCCAGTACTTCAGCAAGAATCGACGGGGATCTCCCAAAAAAGGGGGATACCCTCTCGCCTTTGGGGTATGTGCACTACTTTTGCTGAAGTACTCCCAAAGAAACTTGGCTGCACTCAGGAGGGTAGCTATAAATTAAATTCTTAGCTGCCATATGAAAAAACCCAAGAAACCCAAAAAGGCTAAGGATCAAGAGTTACAGTAAAGAACCACAAAGAAAACGCCAGATAATTATTGAATTTCCCGGGTAATTTGCCCTTTAAAGAATATGTCATTTTCTATATATATTTTTTTTTTGGGGGGGGGGAGGGGGTTCTTGAGCAAATACCCTAGACCCCAAAACCCAAACCCCAAACCCCAAACCCTAATCCCTAACCCTAAACCCCAAGCCCTAAACCCTAAACCCTAAACCCAACACCAAGACTTAGCCGCCTGACCCAGCGTCGAGCCAAGCCGTCACAGCGCCGCGCCGAGGGAGGCACCTCTCGATGCTCTTCGAATAGGGTTTAGGGTTTAGGGTTTAGGGTTTAGGGTTTAGGGTTTGGGGTTTGGGGTTTGGGGGTTGAGGGTTGAGGGTTTGAGGGTTTGAGGGTTTGGGGTTCGGGGTTTGAGTTTAAGGTGGCTAAATTAGCAAGCCGTGAGGGGTATGACCTCGAGCTTGTCTTGAGCTGCATGCGCTGCCGCTGCTTTAGGGTCTAGGGTTTACTGGGGCAGGGTTTGGGGGCCCTACGAAATCAAACGTTTCTGGCTTTATGCGGATACCCTAAACCCTATATGCACCCTAAACCCTAAATATAGGGGATTAAGGGCAACAAATTGCGCCCAAGTTCTTCAAGAAACAGGGCGTGGGGCTTTAGGGCGTTAAGTGCTGTAGGGATTCGGCCCGCTCGTGTTGGGAGGGGCAGAAGGGGGCGGGGATGATGTAGGGCTGGAAGAATTCAGGGCTGAAAGTTTGGGTCTGCGGTACTTCAGGGGTTTGAGTTCAGGGTTTGGGGTTTAAAGGGTGAACGGGGGCGGGCGACCTCCATGTCCAGAAGCCCCTCGCCGACGGCACGACGGGCCTTGGCGTTTAGAGTTTTTGGGTTTAGGGTTTCGGTTTTCGGGCTGAGGGTCCAAGGTTCCAGCCGCAACCCTAAGCTTTCAATCAAAAAACAGCTTGGTGCGCCAACGTTGCGCAAGCTTCAGTGGGACACTACACCCTCAGCCCCAGACCTTTTCATCTGAGACATGGCATGGAAATCTGAAGCTCCCTCTCTTCGGCTCCATTACAAAATAACCCCCTAAACCCTAAACCCTAAACCCTAAACCCTAAACCCTAAACCCTAAACCCTAAACCCTAAACCCTAAACAAAGTAGCTTTAAAAACCAGAGCATAAGATGCAGGTCGTAGTCGTCGATAAAGCAATTCTTCGGGTTTAGGGCTGAGTGTATAGGAAGGCTTTGGAAGATTGGGGTCTTGCAAACAACGCTCAAGCCAACGTCCGAGCAGCAACCCGGGAGTAGTGAGCTTTTCTGAAGGGTTTTGCGGTTTGAGGTTTTCGATGTTCCTCCTCATACTAACAGCCCTTATAATGGGGATTATAACGGGGGGTAAGCTTTTCTGAAGTGTTTTTTTTTTTTTTTTTCGGTTTAAGGTTGGGAATAATTCCTAGTAAGGACTGTAAGTATAAGGGGGAACATCCCAAGTTTAAGGGCAAAACATCTGAGAGTCCTAGCAAGATCCTTGAAACCCTACAATCTCTCATTGCTGGCAGGTTTTGGGGATTCGGGTTACAGGGTGCAGGGGCCTACGGGGTGGAAGGACCCCTTTTAGGGTTTAGGGTTTAGGGTTTAGGGTTTAGGGGTTTCGGGTTAGGGTTTAGGGAGGCTGCAAGGCTGGAAGCACGCGGCCAAGATTTTTCTTGCTCTGGCGCCCGCGAGGCAAGCAAGGAGGGGACTGCACACAAGGAACCCCCTAAACCCTAAACCCTAAACCCTAAACCCTAAGCCCTAAACCCTAAACCCTAAACCCTGAACCCTAAACCCTAAGCCCCAAACCCTACACCCTAAGCCCTGGATCTGAACCTGAAATGTCGATCTCTTCACACCAGAGACCAACCCCAAACTCGAAGCGGCTTTGGGGACGACGACCCTCAGGGTTTAGGGTTTAGGGTTTAGGGTTTAGAGTTTTAGGGTTTAGGGTTTGGGCTTTAGGGTTGCCTAAACCCGTAGGGTGCCAGACATACCTGTGAACCCGTAGGCTGCCGAGGGTTTAGGGTTTAGGGTTTAGGGTTTGGGGTTTAGGGTTTAGGGTTTAGGGTTTAGGGTTTAGGGGTTTAGGGTTTAGGGCTTGGGGTTAGGGGTTGGTTTGGGGTTTAGGGTTCCATCTCCTGCAACCCTGCAGCTGTTAGGTGGGCACCATGCAAGCCACGGGGACGAAGATCACAGAGCTTGCAATGTGCACTGCTCCAGTCCTCCACCGTCACGCAACGCAAGGTAAGGGCTTAGGGGGCCCAAACTCCCTTAAACCCTACTTAAACCTAAATCCTAAACCTAAACTCCTAACCCAGGGTTGAGGGCTACTACAAGGGGCTGCAAAAAGCTCCCTAAACCCTAAACCCTAAACCCTAAACCCTAAACCCTAAACCCTAAACCCTAAACCCTAAACCCTAAACCCTAAACCCTAAACCCTAAACCCTAAACCCCCCCAAACCCCTTAGCACCCTCAAGAAGTTGGAAAGCCCGAAGTTGCCCCCATGAGCCTACAAGTCACGAACTTGGAAGAAGAAGGCCACACTTCGAGTTTAGGGTTTAGGGTTTAGGGTTTAGGGTTTAGGGTTTAGGGTTTAGGGTTTAGGGTTTAGGGACATTGGACTGACGGGCCTGATGGTACCCCAAATCGGCTATACGAAGGTTTCCTACCCGCCCTTGACCCTATACCAGAGTCTCAAAATCTTAAAACCCTAAGCCCTCATACCCCTGAACCCTCAAGCCCTTGCCACTTGAAATTATTTAACAGTGAAAACAGCAAACTTTCCTCGACACTTTCTTCGAAACTCCTCGAAACTTTCCTCGAAACTTTCCCAGGACCTGAACCCTGTCTGAATTAGTACGTATAACCCATAAAGCTGTAGGTAAAGAGGGTCCCGAAACCCCAAACCCCAAACCCCAAACCCCAAACCCTAAACCCTAAACTCCGGCAAGGCTCAGCAGGAAGCTCGCCCGATAGTCGCCAGTGCGATCTGCAAGGAGGCCACCGACCCAGGCTCCCGCCCCGTTCGTCGCCGACTTGAAGGACGTGATCGCCTGAGAGTTTAGGGTTTAGGGTTTAGGGTTTAGGGTTAGTTTGAAGTTTAGGGTTCGTGGAGGGTGGCAAGGACGTTTGCGGAGCCTCCCTGAGATACGGACAGGGAAGCGGTTGTATGGTTGCAGCTACTGCTGCGAACCGGCCTACCAACCAACCAACCAACCAGCCAATTTAGGGTTTCGGGTGTAGAGATACCTTCCCACCTGAGGGTTTGGCTAGCGATTCAGGACAAATGCGGGTTTACAAAGACAGGGGATCCCTAAAATAGACCCCCAAATAGTAGGGTTCCCTTATACCTAAGGACCCCAGTAAGGTACCCCTACTTTCGAAAAACCACCAAATCGCCATGCGGCGTAATCTGAAAAATTTTGGGAAACGGTATGCAAGAGACAGCAAAAAACAACAAACACACACACACACACACACAGAAAAAAAACAAAAAAAACAGGCAAGAGACCGTCCAACGGCCGCGATGTTTGGGCAAGACGGATTCGAAGATGATGGACTGCACGCACGGGACGTTGGCTCGGCTCATGGTGGTGCGCAAGACGAAGAGCGCGGCGGCCAAATAAACTTGCTGCGCACATGCCACACCAATCATCCTGGGGGCGCCAAATGAACCCTAAATTTGGGGTCATAAACCCTAAACCCTAAACCCTAAACCCTAAACCCTAAACCCTAAACCCTAAACCCTAAACCCATACTACTAAAATCCACAATTATTCAGGTAACATGGACCATAAGCCTTCTTTTGCTCCCCAAGGATCAGAATGCCGCCAGATGCAATGAAGAGCACGGCTGCCCAAGCACGGCCTAGCTTTGCCGCAATCCTTACTGTTGGCTAGTAGGGAATGAGGAATGAGGTACACTATATCCCCCTCTGTATACCCTTTAAGGGATTATATAAGGATATATAAGGGTACCTATATCCCCCTATATATACCCTTTGAGGGATGAGATAGGGTACCTCATTCCCTCATTCCCTAACCAACAGCAAGAATCTTTGGCGTGGCGAAGTTGAGGGCCGCCAGGGAGACGTTCTCAACAAAGCGCAGCACCATCAGCCAGGAAGGGCTAAGACCGAAGTCCTTGCGGAAGAAGAGGGGGATGTATCTCAGACTCATGGAGGCGGCAACTTGGGTCAGGGCCCACATGATGTCCGTCCAGATCGGAATCAGCCACCTTCTCTGTACCTTGGGACCAAATGAACCCTGGCCCGAAAATTGGGGTCCTATACCCCATAACTACTACTATCATCCCTATATAAGCAAGGCACATGGACCATAAACCCTTTTAGGGTTCATGTGGTCAAGACTTCAAGGTACGCCGCAGGCCGTCCCCTGCGCCCACTGGGGCAGGGCCGAGGCATCGGACACTGCAGAGGACGGATCCGCCACGTCGGAGCTGGGGTTGCGCAGGAAGAAGACGACAGGCTCCACCAGCACCTCGACCCAGGAAAAAACTGGGAATGAAAAAGGGCACCCGTTTTTGGGATTAAAGAGGCGTATAAGGGAACCTAGACCCTGAAAAAAGGGAAATAATTTGAGGCCGACTCTGATTCCTAGGCACGGAGCCGATGAGGCCCACGCACACCACCGTCTCCACCAGGCTGAGAGTCCATGCGCCACGTTCGCTCACCGCCGTCACCAGGGTCAGGGCTACCAAGGGCCCAACGGCCGTTCCCAACCAAGTCACCATCTCCTTCCCGATTTTCGGTTTGAAATCCTGCAATCCTAAATCTTGCACAGTTTGCAGTTGATCTGCAAGCCTGGGCAGCGCGTGAACCCCGCAAAAAGCCCTAAACCCTAAACCCTAGAGCCCAAATCCTAAAGCCAAAGCCCTAAACCCCAAAACCAAAAAACCCTGAACCCTAACCCTTCAGAGTAGAGTCCTCGCACCTTGCGACTCAGGGTTCGCGTCCGCTCCAAGGGTGCTGTGTTGTCGACCAGGAAGACTTGAAGTACCTACAGGGGCTGAGGAGTTTAGGGTTTCGGGTTTAGGGTTTAGGGTTTAAAGGCTCGAAGGGGTCTTAGTGAGGGCTTTAGGGGCCTACGGGGTTTAGGGCAGGCTTGTAGCACCTAGATAGGCTTATAGAGAGTTTGGGGTTTAGGGGCTTTACGGGGCCTTTCGGAAATTTATGGATGCCCTAAACCCTAAACCCTAAACCCTAAACCCTAAACCCTAAACCCTAAACCCTAAACCCTAAACCCTAAACCCTAAACCCTAAACCCTAAACCCTAAACCCTAAACCCTAAACCCTAAACCCTAAACCCTAAACCCTAAACTTAAACCCTAAACCCTAAACCCTAAACCCTAAACCCTAAACATGTCCATTTAAGGGCCCATAAGGGACCATGTAACTACTAGGCTTTAGTGATCAGGGCTGCGGGGGGGGGGGGGGGTTTACCAGACCCCTAAGCCCTAAATCAGGAGATCCGTGACACCCGAAACCCTCAATCCCTGAACAAGTCCTGAAGCCTTGAACCAGTACACGACCCCAAAAACCCTGCAAGGCTAAACCCTGGACCCGGGACCCTACAACTCAGACCCCTGAAAACTTGACCTCTTTGGGCACTTCGAGCCCCTAAACCCTAAACCCCAAAACCCTACACCCTTCGGTCCTGATCCTGCGGACTGTTCACCTGAACAACGGGTCAAGCATAGGAAAAGGCTCTCACATAGTCCCCTAAACCCCGAAACCCTGCAACCTGAAAACCCCTTAACACTAAACTCTAAACCCCTAACACCCTTAACCCCCTAGAACCCCTAACCCTAAATGCCCGCATCTAGGGTTCAAGTCTTTGGGTCCCTCCCCAGCCATACACTCTGAAGCCTAACTTGAGACTCCTAAACACCAAGCCATAGAAGGCTGGTTTAGGATTTAGGATTAAGGGTTTAGGGTTTAGGGCATCTAGACTGTAGGGTTATATGGGGGAGGGGGTCGTCGCAAAGTTAGGGTACCTGTTTTTTTTTGCCACATTCGGTGCATATAGTGGTTACCCTATTTTGGGCAATGCCTATTTTGCCTATTTTTATGGAAGTAGAATAAACAACAGAGAAAGTTTGACGCTTTCCATTATTCCCCGCACCCCTGCCCCACCCCCTCCCAAACTCCAACTGTAGCACGAAAGCACTCGAAACCGCAGAGCATCGCAAAGTTTCATACTTTATGGTAGGTTCGTGGGTAGCAAAAACCCTAAACCCTGAACCCTAAACCCTGAGCAAGTTTTTCCGCACCTCAACAAGGGAGATAACCTGTGGGGCCGGCCAGAACTCACCCCCAGGCCCCTAGGGTGAACATGGTAGGGCCTGGTAGGGTTTCGGGTTTAGGGTTTCGGGCTTAGGGTTTAAAGCCTCCCTGGAACCCTAAGCCTACTTCTAACTGCCCATCCAAGCCCTAAACCCTGCAAGAAGCAGTTCAGACACAGGGGCCAGAACCAAAACAACCAGCGACATCCAGAGTAGCTGCAGGTTGCGTGCTGACACCGCCCAGAGTGTCCTGAGATGTGGTGGTCTCCGAAAATAGGGGTACCCTTTTTGGATTCCATTGAAAGGGTTATGGTATTTGTTATATGGCATTTTGGGATTTACATTTCTGTATACATATAAGGGGTACCACTACTTTCGGAAATCCCCTGCTTGGCGAAGGAAGTCCTGTTTTTGGTGTCACTCCCTGTAGAGTTTCGAGGTTACCATGAACTTCAACCCAGCGAGGCTCTGACTTTTCAGGGCCACGTACATGCTTGGAGGTTCAGGGTACTTATGACCCACCCATAGCCCATAACTGTAGCTCTAACCCATGTCTGAGCCCCTTGAGTACCCAAGTGTGGCTATGATCGGGTTATAAGTAAACCTGAGGCGGGGGCCCTTACTTCTTCATGTCAAGGGGCGATGTCCAGCACATGCAACCTGTGAAAGCCTGTACAGCATGAGCCACAACTCTGAAGCCCCAAGCCCCAAACCAAGGCCTAAAACTCCTGAACCCAAGCCCTAAACCCTAAACCCCAGCCCTAAACCCTAGCCCTAAACCCTAAACCCTAAACCCTAAACCCTAAACCCTAAACCCTAAACCCTAAACCCTAAACCCTAAACCCTAAACCCTAAACCCTAAACCCTAAACCCTAAACCCTAAACCCTCTCAAGGACAAAGGCGCAGGAGTGTGGGCAATGCCTTCGCCGCTGCCAAGCAGCGGAGGAGGCGCAGCCGCCGGCAGCGGTCGGTGAGGACCCCGCAAGGCAGCATGACCTTGCTGTAGGCGGTTTAGGGTTTAGGGTTTAGGGTTTAGGGGTTAAGGGTTTAGGGGTCTAGGGTTTAGGGTTTAGGGTTTAGGCGAACGCGTTCCATTATGGACCCGAAGGTTTTCGGCCTTTTGGGTTGGGGGGGGGGGGTGGGTTGCGGGGGCGGGGGGAGGGGTGGGCGGGAAATTACGCCCAAAACATCGGCGTTTTTGCCAAGGCATGTTTGACGTTTCTGGAACAGGACACGCGGTCACAAGCGTTCGTGCCCTTGGCGACAATGCACAGCTTGTATGTGTTATGGTTTTTGAGTTAGGGCTTCGGGCCATAACTTCGGGTTGTATGGGTTTAGGGTTTTGGGTCATAGGGTTTAGGGTTTAGGGTTAAGGGTTTAGGGTTTGTGCCCTAAGCTGCGGACTTTCAACCTGCGCGGAAGCACGGGCAGGGATGCTTGTAAAGGTGTATGGAGCATGGCTTACTACTAATTGCTTAAGAACCCCCCCAAAAAGTATAATTCCTTATTAAGGGTAATATAGGGATTATGATTAGTTTTTATTCTTTTGGGGTTCTTAAGCAAATAGTAGTCATGGTTTAGGCTTGAACATTGAGAGGCTGATTGCTTTTGATTGCTTCTTGTAGGGTTGCGGGCTTAGGTTTTTAGGATTTGGGTGAGGTCTGGCATACCATATGGAAAGTTTCTGATTTCAGGTATAAGAAAGGCCCATCATAACATCTGGCATCACTCCGCCTTTGCTTGGTACCGACCTTTACTCCCAATGAAAGCGGCCTAAATGGGGGTTCCGAATATAGGGGCACCTTCTTGGGCTCCTTTTAGAAGGGTATCCTACAATTGGGGGTATATGTTAGGGGTCCCTTATTTTCGTAGGGTTTAGGGTTTAGGGCTTAGGGTTAAGGGTTTAGGGTTTACGGTTACTCCTAAATGATTGGGAATGCTGACGTTGTGCTGAGGAACGGGGTTGCTGCATGCAGACTCTGGACATCCGATGGAACTGGCGGGATTTAGGGTTTAGGGTATATATAGGGACAAGACGATGATTGCGAGTGATAGGCGTGCTGGTGTGTGTTTGTCAATAGGATTTGACTAGACCTAGCTTATTCCGAGTTATCAACACTTTCGGGTTGTAACTACTGGTCCCACTCATAGCTACGCTTCAAGCAGGGATAACGGCGCGGAGGGGCTTAATTGGGGTAGCTTGTCCCCAAACCCTAAACCCTAAACCCTAAACCCTAAATCCCCAAACCCAAGCGCTTTCATCGTCGGCAAGGCTCCGCTAGAGCGGCGAGCCCGCATGTGGATTCGACCATGCCCACTGTCTCATTGGAGCCCGCTAGATCCTGGCAGGGTTTAGGGCTGCACGTTTTAAGGTTTAGGGTTCAGGGTTGTTTAGGGTTTAGGGTTTAGGGTTTAGGGTTTAGGGTTTAGGGTTTCGGGTTTAGGGTTTAGGGTTTAGGAACTCCGAAACTGCCAGCCCTAGAAGCCCTCAGACACTGAACCCGGAACCCTGAACCCCAATACCCCGAAACTTTTAAACCTAACAAACCCAAAACCCTGTACCCTCAACAAAACATAAACTGTTGAAGTGCAGTACATGCACATGTCTAGCTGTAGCCACTCCTGTTGTGTTTTCCATTGCTTCTAGGCCCGAACAGTAGCCTTGAGCATGCAACATGTTCAGACACTTGTACAGTATCACTCTTTAGGTGCCGTAGCCTATAGCGTAGTAGTCAACAAACTTCATGTCCTTTCTTTGTCTGTTGCTTTCGCTCTCTGTGAAAATAGTAGCTCCGCACTTTGTGAGGGCCATGGCTGGGAATGTTGAGTTGAGGGAACAGGCCACTCCACTCATTTCCACCTCTCAGCCTGCTGGTTCTCGCCAGCAGGTTATGAGCCCAACGCTTGGGTGGGCAATATGCCATCCCCGCCACCCGGGTGGGATGGTCACCCAGGTTCACACGCTCAGGACGCAACCAACACCTGCACAAGTGCACGGCCCAGGTGGAGTGGGTTTTGCATCGGACATGGCTGCGGGAAGGGCATCTAGAGGGGCCCGGTTGTGTTACCCTAGCCAACCCGTAGTTTCTGACAGAGCTCAAAGTGGCACGGATTCCCCATCAATCCTTCAAGAGGTCATCCAGGCAGAGGTTGCTAGGCGGCTGGCCATTTTGGACCAGCGCGCTACAGCACGGGAGTTAGAGATTGCAGAGCAGGAGCCAGAGATTCAAAGGCTCAGGCAGCAGATTGCAGAGGCCAACGCTCACAGGGAGCAGGCGTTGAGGGCTGCAGCCCTTGCGAACGCCCAGTCCACTGCACGTGTCCCGGCGCCTCCGAGAAGCTCCGTTTTGCAGCTGACAGCTAAAATCGGAGCTTCTGTGTTCAAGAAGCTCCAAATAAGCTCCATTTTGAAGCTGGCAGCTTCGTTTTGAGACTGGCAGCTCCGTTTTTAGCTTCCCTAAAAGAGCTCAAAGCCAATGACATGCGAAAGTACCTCCAATTTCAATTGGACGTGCTTCTACATAAAGCCCGACCTGCCAAGTTCATTCTGAAGTAAAATCATAACCGAGCACATAAACTAGTTCTTGCCCAATGGAGCACATTGCCTTGCCAGCCAGTGTCTTAACATCTCGGTCGGCAAGGTTGTCGTAAAACCTGTCAGCGTCGGGCCCGACTTTTGGCTGAATGATATGATCAGGCACGGCCGGCCTTTCAGGGTTGAAATTTGCTCTGATCCATCTTTGAGGCCCACGGGCATTGTCACACGAAGACCTGACTGCACAACATCGGGGATTTATGATGGTCAAATTTTGTCTTTGAGCCGTCGAGCCGCAAATGTCTCACCATGTTGGACATGCCTGCCCCGGCAAGAGCATGTCCAATGCCATTACTGGCGCTTCGGCTCCACTGCCTTGCAGGAAAGACACACGTGAGAGTTGTCATTTTGCACATAGTTGCCTTCAAGAAGATCTGAGTTCTAAGCAGTCGGTCATCAGCCCAATCGGCCCTCGCAATTTCTTCTTCATATTCGCCAGGCCTGACAAAAGATACACATTGTCATAACGTGATAAGCCAAGCGCTGTACCACAGTCTGGCTCAAGCAAGCCTGCAGCCTTTGCAAAAGCACTGCCGAACTCCAAGTGCTGCCGCTGACCAGCATTCAATGTGATGTTTCCAGCGCCGGGAAGCCTACGTGTGCCCAACCTACACACAACTCAGTGTCAAGTCAAATTTATAACAGTCCAGGTAAGGTCGAAGCATCACGTCTTCAAATTCTTCATCAGAAGATTCACATGAAACCTGACACACACACACACTTTGTCTTCTAGACAATAATGGCTTGGCATGATCGTCCGGGCCTCCATAATGTCGCTGTCACTGTCTGATAGCACAACGACAGCCATCGGCTCACTGGCACATGTCCAAGATGGCACGTTTGGGTCCCAGCTTGAGATTGCCACTGATCTGAGTCTGACTGTTGTCTGTCTAAAACTTCATGATGACAACGCGAAGCCTTCAGCATTGGAGCAGCAAAGGTCTGCAGAGTCTGCAAATCATGACAGGCAACTCAGCAAGCACAGCTTTCTAAACACACACACACGGGCAACCAAATCCGCGGCTAGCCCGCAGGAGTTAATAGAAGCTCCCGCAGGAGCTTTAGAATGCAAGCGAAACACACAACAGGATTAAGATGATGATTAATAAGTAACTAGCCCAATCATCATGACTCGAATACCCCAAAAAACCACGGCGTGATTGTAGCACCACGTCATCCTTTGAATGGATGAATTTGCAATTCTCACCAAATTTGCAGCTATCTATTCCCCTGCTGAGCCAATAGCAGATGCCTCTCTTCCTTTTCTCTAGACGTTCCGCTTCGTAACGGTCCATGGGGCGATCCTGTACATGAACATTGTCATGTACCTGAGAACTGCTCCCTTCACCCAAGGTGCTATCAGTATTTGATGTATCTAGAACAGCGGGAAAACCTGGCCTTGGTCCTACCACCTCCATGATTGGTTTCCCACCAGCTCCTGAGCCATGCTGAGCTAATCCACGAATAATTGGCTTCAAGAAGGTTTTTATAATGCCAGCCCTCCGCACCGTTTTGATTGGAAGATTTACTGCTCCAACCTTGGGTCCAGATACATTTGCGCGACACAACCTCCTATACCCGGCTCACCAAAGAGCCCTAAGTTTTTTCTCGGTAGCAGTAGCTTCTACCACGACCTGTTCAGGTTGACTTCCACTTTCCAACCCAAAACAACCTTCTTCTCCCTGATCTGAGGACTGGTCGACTCGTTTTGTGACCACCGTATCAAGATGATCTTCAGGAATACAGGGCGCATTCCCCTTTGAGGAAATTGAACCATCACCATTGGTTGGTCCCTCGCCAGGATAACCCTTTGTGCTGTCAAAGATCCTCCCAGCAGAACGGTCTTGGATCGAAAACTCCCAATTGGGAACAACCCTAGAATACAAGTTCCACAATAGCATCCTTGTGCCAGACAGTCTCGACGTGCCACCGGTCGTCTCATCCTCCGGAGAAACTTCTGGCGCTTTGCCATCAACCCCAGTGCCACCGGTCGTAACACCTCCAGCATCTTCAATAGGAATAGGAGTTTCACCACTCCCTTGTCCACAAACCATTTCTCGCTGTCCAGAGATCTCCAACACCATCCCTGACGGATCCACCTCCTCATCATCCTCATCCATTCGTTTCCATAGTTCCTCCAATTCGTCAGCACATGTAGCTGCTTGAAGGAATTCCATCAACCGATCCCTTCCATGTTGCCAGAGAAATTCTGTATTCACCACAGTCCCTTGACCACCAAGGAGAATAAACGGATGTACCAGTGTTGCTACTCGAACCATCAGCTTAATGTGGTCTTCCATACCTGGAACGCGGCTCCTTCCATTGCAGTCCCAAAGGTATCTGAATTTGTAAACTCATGTCGTAAATCTGGGGATAGCAAAACTCCCATAACAGAGAGCGGGTAATTACCCACTGGCGGCAAGCATGGATTGTCATGAAACGGATGATGCAATTTACCATAATGACCTTGTTCTCTCCTTTGGAGAAGGAGTTTTCCAGTTTCCAACTGGGCATTCATCACATCCACCTCAACCATTTCAGCACATACGTTTTGCGCTGATGCAGCTATTGCGCCCCGTATCACACGATCTGACACACCACGACGCATAACCCATTGAGTTGTTTGTGACTGAATCAGCACATGAGGATCATACAACGTCAGCGGTGCTGGGTTTCTCACCATTGAAGGACTTGTGCTTTCCACCAGCGCGAGGCTCAACTCCCCCTCGCCTGAGCCATCCGTAAAAGCACTGATAAGCAAATTCTGGTCCATCTTATTTAGGTCCTCTCGGACAGTCCTTCTTCTGGATTGGCGCTTTTCCTCCCGAGATCTTCTCATAGATCCTCTTGACAACGACAGGTTCCCATCCCTGCTTGTTTCGGCGCTACCACTTCGTTCCAATTGATCAGCATGGAGAACATTGCTCCCATCTTCACCCACCTGTTGCCCAATCTCTTCGCCAGAAATGTGTACTGCTCCCTCTAACGCCGTCCCCTGTCCAGCATCATCTTGCCCAGGTCGAACTTCAGCGCTTTCAGACACATTCTCCTGTCCAGCAACACCTTGCCCAGGTAGAACCTCATCTGTGGAACCCACCGCCAGCGAACCACGAATAACAGAACCATCCACGGTCCCATTAGAGACTGCAACATTTTGTTGTGAAGACGCTGACACCGAAAAATCTTGGCGGGTCTCCCCCCGCGACGCTTTGTCGCGCTTTTCGCCAAGAGCAGTTGGTTTTTTATGCCCTTCATTGGAGCTTTGAGAACCTCCATGTGGAACATTGCCACCTTTTCCGGCTCTCTTCAATTCCCTTTCTTGCAAAAAGGCTTCCCATAAATGTCGCACATCGTTGGCTTCTTCGGCACTAGATTCACCAGAGGACCGAGCATATGAGACCAGAGCCCCATCTTGATCTTCATCGTCCTCCAAATCTGCCCACGCTCGACTGAAGCGAAATGCCAATCCACCGCGCTCCAGCGTGTTTGTTATGTGATTTGCAAGGTTAGGTCGTTATAGCAACTGTTATTGTAGATACAGTGGCCATTGTGTCTTATCCAGTATTACTGTGTGTATATATGTTTACTGAAATTGTGTAAGCGTCGCAATGGCTGAACAGCCATGCACGCGAACATGGCCAATGGCTGGACAGCCAGCTGGTATGTCTGCTTTGTACTGTTAAATCTTGAAGTTTCCGGGTTCGAGGTTAGTTTAGGAAAGTTAAGGTTGTGCGTCGTGCAAGATTTAGGGTTTGTAGATACCGTTTCAAGTAGGTTTAAGATTTCGGGATTAAGGTTTCGAGGTTTAGATTTCGAGGTTTGGGTTTAGGATTTTGGGTTTAGGGTTTTAAGTTTAGCGCCTCAGAAGCCGCGGTGTGCGCCTTAAACCTGCTTTTCCAACCCTCAGATGGGGGCCCTCAAGCGGGGGGGGGGTTGGGAATGGTGGTGTTGTGTTGTTTTGGGTTTGAAAGCGACATTCCCAGACCCCCGTTCTCGAGTCAGGAACGGGGGTCTGGAAATGGCGGATTTCCGAAAATGAGACCTGCTTTCCCCCTTCCCTCCGCCCTCCCCCGCCCTCCCCCCCTTCCCCTCCCCTTTGGGCTTAGGTTTTGGGGATGGGGATTTGGGTTTGGGGTTGGGGCTTAGGTGTTTGAAGTTTGGGGGTTTGGGTTTAGGTTTGGGGTTTGGGGTTTGGGGTTGGGGGTTTGGGGTTTGGGGTTTGGGATTTAGGGTTTAGGGTCGCGTTTCGGGTTTGCTGCATGGAGGCGGCGAAGCCCCAAGCCTCAATCCCTAAACCATAAACTATATAAACCCTGAACCCTAAACCCTTAATTTACATTAACCCTCAAAGGGACCAAGTCTCACCCTATAATCCCTAAAGCCCTTGACCCTGATTGGGGTTTGGGGTTTCGGGTTTGGGTTTAGGGCTTGCTGCATTGGGGCAGTGCAGTGAAACCCCAGCCCTAAAACCCTAAAACTAAACCCCACATAAACTGAACCCTTAATTTGCATAAACGCTGAAAGAGACCAAGCCCGTATGAACCCTATAGATAAACCACTTCACCCTAATTGGGGTTTAGGGTTTGGGGTGTAGGGTTTGCTGGAATATGGTCTTAGGGGCGTTTCGGGGGGCCCAGTTTTTCAAGGAAGTGTTTAGCCTTCAAGAGACCAACCAGCAACTGAGGGGATTGGGACCCTGCTAAGAAGGGGGCCTGACTCCCATGGTATGCAAAAGCTAGGGGCACCATGGGGTGTAGTTAATGCGCAAAATGCATTGTAAAAAACCACTATTCATCCTAAGCCCTAAGCCC